TCTTTCCCTTCCCTCCTCAAGGCTCAGCTCCTCTGGAGGGAGGGAAGAGGAAGCAGGGCAGGGGACAGGCCTCTCCATTCCATTGGTGGCCAATGCTGTTCCCCTGGATATCACCGACCAGGTCTCAGTGTCCTTTTGAAGGGAGGTGATGAAAGACTGATCATTAGGGGGACATAGGTCTGAGCTCCTCAGAAGCTGTGCAGAACATGCTCACTGCACTGTTCCCTGACTGATGGAGGCCCCAGCTCGCCCACTGCCACTCTGGATGCCACCATGGGGGTCCCAGTCACAGCTTCTTGCTGGGGAGGAAGCTATTGCTCCCGTCTCTGCCCATCGTCGCCCTCCAGTTCTCTGCACAGATAGACAAAGGAAGATGAGCACTGCTCTGTAGTGGAACGGTAGGACATGAGTCTCCTTTGTACAATACCGCCAGTCTCTCACTGTGCCTTTTGGTACTCCCCTCCCTGCCACAGTGCGCTCTCATCTCAACCACGGCGCTTCCTAACTACGGTTCCCCTCCGGGGCTCTATCCCTCCTTTATAGCAGTTGAATCTGGTCTTTTGGAGCAGACCAAGTGGCTCTGAAAATGTGAATTCCAAATACTTCTGGCTCTCACGTATGGCATGGCGGGAGTTTCTTTGAACCTTTCATTTGTCTCTGAATGGAGCACCGAAAGTGCTAAGTGCCTCCTGTCCCATCACTTCAGATCTTGGTCACCATTCCTAGGCGCCAGTAAAATCCCGCTATGGAATCAGTATCTCCATTATACAGATGGGGAAGTTAAGGCTTAGAGAAGGTAAATAACTTGTCCTTGGACAGACATACAGTGAGAACATGGGAATCCCATTTTCTCCGTCCATGTCATTCAGACTCTGAAAGCTTTTCTTGAAGGAAAACACTAGTCCTAAACTGCTACCCAAGTGAAACCCAGACACATGGATTTAAAGAGGAACAGGGCCAGGAGTGCTGACTAGCATAGCCCAGAGAAGTACCTTTTCAGGGACATACCGTGGGTCAACCAGGAAACCTGTGTGACAAACGTCATAGGGAATCCTCAGGTCAGGACTTAGAGTGGAGGCTGCCACTGGATACAGTTGTTGGGGTGGAAATGTGACATCAAAGGAAGTCGCTGACAGGCACAGACAGACCTGCTTTTTTTTTAAAAAAAACAAAAAACCTTTTATTGATTTTAGAGAGGAAGGGAGAGGGATAGAGAAATAGAAACATCAATGATGACAGAGAGTCATTGATTGGCTGCCTCCTGCGGCCCCCTACTAGGGATCCAGCCCACAACCTGGGCAAGTGCCCTGACCAGGACTCGACCTGGTGACCTCTTGGTTCAGAGGTTGATACTCAACCACTGAGCCACACTGTCCAGGCCAGAACTGCTTTTAAAATAATATCTTAAATTAATATTTGGGGCATAATGATTCAATTGAGTTTTTTCAGGCCTCACCTTGGAAGGCCCGGAGGGAAAGGTAATAATGATACCTAATGTTTCAGGCCACTTACTGTGAGGCAAGAACTGTTCATTGCTTTAGATGCATTATGTTGCAACAACCTTTGACATAGTCTATTTTCTCATTTGAAAGTAATGTAATTAAGCTTAGATACCTTCTTTATGTAACTTGCATAAGATCATACAACTCAAAGAGATGGTAAAGAATAATTTTTTTTTCTTAAAAGCATTTTGGTTTTTTTCTTCTGTTTCAGCTATTGACAGAAATGGTGATTAAAGAATATTCCCTCTGTTTTACAGAGTAACCGAAAACACGGATAAAACCCCAGAGAGACAAATGCTTCTAAACCTTCAAAGATGGCAGAAATGTTTACAGCAGTGAGAGAGAGAGATCAAAAGCTAAGAACTACCCTGTAGCCAGGACTACAACTGTGTATTTTAAAGCCATTATTCAAGGTTTCTTACTTGACAGTTCCTACATGACCCTGGTGAAAATCTACAATATATGCTGCATTTAATGAAACGTGTACATGTCAAGCCAGAAGAAAAGAACTATAAACATATATTGTGAAGGCAAAAAACAAATCAACCGTGGAAACAGATTCAGCAGATCACACAAAGATGTGTCTTGGGCATGGAACCAAAGTTACAAAGAACCATTCTACCCCTGCTGTGCAGGGGGGTCATTTTAATGTAACACCACACCCCATGGAAACACTAGTCCTGAAATAAACATCATTTAAAAAAAATCAAAACAAACAACAGAAACTAGGGTGGGTGGGAATGAAGCACGAGGAATACCTATGAGGAGCTATTTACAATAAAATGTTTCGTTTGAAAAGTCTGGTTTCTTACTACAGGGATTTGCTTTTTTGTCTTTATTATTGTTTAAAACTCAGGAACAGAGACCTCTGCCATGTGAGTGGGAAGGAAGGCGCTCTCCGGTTGGTTTTTCTGCCAAAGGTGGAGCAGGTGGAGTGCATCCCACAGCTGAGAGATCTGAGTCGTGGCACACGGTGACCCCGACTGCCCCGGCGGCCAAGGCGGAGGACCTCGGCGAATGGGACATCAGACACAGAGCAGACTCGATGCTTCCTTGACCTCCTGTCACACCTGTCTTGCTCCAGGAACAAGAGACTGATCTCATTCGTGTTGAAAATGAAGAAGACGATGCTCTCAGTCACTAGCTCCCCGACTTAGTTCTATTTATAATACCAATATCTATAGGGGACATGGGCCAGAGAGCATCTCTGAATCTTTCCGTTTAACACAATACTGGTTTTCAAATGGCTGCTTAGAATTGCCTGCAAATAAATGTCATATGATTCCAGTAAAACCACCATCGAGACAAGTAAACTTCTAACAACTTTTGAGTTTGCCACACAGGGATGTGAATATAAAACTAAGTTATGATTGTTTTTTTAAATGTCCTGATAAGCCTCCAGGTCTTGGATCTCTTGTCAGTTAAGTGGATAACTTGTTTGTTTTTCCCAGATTGCTGACAGCAACAAGATAGCTCTACTTTTTTATACAGAAGTAACATTCTGTTACGGATAAGGTTTGTTTTCTACCAGAGACAATGAAAAGACTGGTCCTTTTCCTAAGTTATGTAATACCGAGTCTTGGACTCAGATGTGAGAGCAAATAAATGTTCCTGAAAAGCTAATTTTACACCTCACTTACTGTAGATAACGAAACAGCCTCAATTTTTCAAATCGTCAAGGTGTTACTTACAGGGCTAGAGTTCCCATGCCTAGAGAATGTGTATAGGGAGCCAGAACCTCTTTCTATGAAATACTTCCCAAGTCCTCCCACACGTGGGTTCAGTATCTTATTCTTCAGTTTTAGCGCTGGCGTTGTGAAAGCCAGCAAGTTACTGAAGAGTGTACAAGAAAAGCTGCAATGCTGGGGTCCGCTTTTTGTTTTTATATTGACTGCTGACACAGGTATCGTTGGCCCAGTCATATAACCTCTCTGTGCCTCAGTTTCCTCATCTGCAAAATGAGGTTAAAAAGCTTTTTTCATGAAGTTTCTTTCTTGCAATTCTGGAACAAGAGGTGCTTAAAGTAGCACAAAGTGCTCTGTAATTACTCTGACTGCGAATACTATTTGACTTTCTTGTATTGTTGAGAACGAGAGTCCCCTGTGTGATAACATAGTGCTTGGGTTGGGTTGGATCTAAGTCCTGCAGCACTGAAGCCTTCCCATCAAACCACCTGGGGCAATCCTAGCGCTAAGGACTGAGAGGTCAGAGCCAGGGGCTGTAATAACCCACAGGAAGTAGATCATCTCGTGCTATTATTGAGCAAGATAGACGTGTGTGCCATCCCAGTGATGAGGATCTTCTAGCTCTCCTCATTGCGTATGCAGGGCAGGATACAAAACTCACTTTCTCATCGGAGGGCCAGCCATAAAATGAAGGCTTGGAGTGAACTGATAGCATCACGTAATTCATCGGATCACCCCTTCTATTTTGGGGGAAGGTCTGGTGATGTGTCCTACTGGGAATATATAAGATAACTATCTTCATGTTATTTGTTCAATTGGGTAGGTTCCGGATTAAATGTGAACAGTACATTGGTTGTGCAGACGGTGTGAAAAAGGGTGCCCTCCAGCCTGTGACCAAACCCTTTCGAACCTCAAAATGTATGGGAGAGGATAAATTACCCTTCGTATCTTCAACTTTTCTCTTTCACTGTCTTCATTGCCATTCCAGAGTCCATCTGAGCAAATTCATACTCCACTTCCTCCAGCAAACCTACGTTCCTTCTCTTCATCTTGCTTTCCCCACCAAGAAATTTGTAGTTTAAATTTGACTTCCAAGTACTGGCTATGGTTTAAATGATGAGAAACATTTGTAAAAATAATGTGGTTTAATCATATATGCGATCTGCTATGACTCATTGCATCACTCACACAAATCACACAAGAGCAATGACATCTAAGCAGTTTTAGATGTGCTTAGGGAATATGTTGCTTAAGATCCAGGAAATTAGCAAATTTCTCTATATTGTAGGCTAACAGGTGATATGTTTGCCTAGTCTTACGATCCTCAAAATTATTATTGCATAAGGTCAAATATTTTTATAGGTACACCTCTCTGTTATCCATTTCCACAATGACAAAAAAAACATTTAGCAAAATTGTAACTGTCTGATATCGTCACTCATGGATCCATGGAAATGGACCATATCTAAATGAGTGCTGCCCTTTGTAAATGATGTTCAGAAAAAAGAGTGTCTTACTGATAGAGGAAGGCTTACTGTGGTCCTACTCCTTACAAAGAACAGACAATTCCCACGCAGATCTTTAATTTCTGCATCTTAACTATCCCACCACATTTGACCAATGGGTTAGCCATCAGAACAGCATTCTTCAGGGTCCATTTACTTAATTTTTCTTAAAATAGTCATCTCTTGGAAAATAAAGATAACCAACAATACTAAAAAATAGTTTGAGATAAAATAAAAGCCCAAATTTAGCACAGTTATTCAAGAGAGGAAAATTTTTATGGTAAAGGTGGAGTTGGGGGGTGGGGCGGGGGGAGGATGGAAGACTATATTTGGCTATAATACTGGAAAGCATCTATTACTAAATTGACCAACTTTTTTTAATGTCACCCAATTTTTGTTTTTGGAAACACTGGAATTTGTTAAAAATAAGTATAAGATCTCCTTTACCCTTTGTCATATAAGTGAAATTATTGCCAATAGTGAGATTTTAGGGAAGGAAGAATAAATTTCGCTTGATTTTTCTTCTACTCAGATAACTTCACACAGGTGATGGGGTCTTCAGGAGGATAGAGGTGACCCAGAGGGCTCATGGGTCACCGCTGAAGCAGAAAGGGGACATTCGTTCTCCACTAGGAATAGAGGAAATCAAGGCTTGTCAAGTAATTTTTGCAACAGTATTTCATTTCAACTTACTGTGTTTTCAGTTGAAAATACATCTCTGGCAAATGTGTTCCTTTTTGCCTACTATTGTCAACATTTTTTGTAAAACCACTGTGTAATCTATACGTTCAGTGTCTTCAATGTAATTCATAAGGTTATTGTTTGAAAATGAAGCAAGTCTTTTAAACTTGCCTGGGTTTTTATGGGTACTGTAAAAACACTATTCATCAGTATTGTGTTGGTGTTTAAATAATTGGATCATGTGTGTTATGTTACATGAAAATAGTTGGAAAGCATAGACCGTTTATTTTTTAAATATTTAATTGCATTTTTTCAATCTGTCAAAGAGTGGCACAGAAAATATATTTATTTGCCTACTATATTGAATAATGTACCTTTCGAGGGGTCAGTAATCAAAGCGAGTCTTAGATGACTGTGTGTGTAATGAGTTAATGCTTCCAGAATGGGCCAATCCTTTCTAAAGGGAAAAAAGTAGGTCACAAGGTCTTGAGGGATGAAAGCTTCCATTCTGTTCAACTGCCTTGTCATTTCCATGTAACATATTGTCTTGAGAATGAATTTCAGGCATCTCGGCAAGAGGATTCAGACATAATAGAAGGTTGGCGTCGATCCTCTATGATTCCATTTGAGGACTGGGCAGGGCAAGATTCACTTTCCTCTGCTGCCTTTAGTTCGGCAGTTTAGTGTTGTTGAGTCCAATGTTCAATCAAAATGACTAAAGATAGAGTTCAAGGGGCCATGCTGCAGGAATAAGAAGGATAATGTGCTGTACTCAACACGAAACTCAGAAGTACAAGTGGTTGATGGTGCAAGGTTCCCTGTCTTCTTTGTGTTTTTGCATTGAGGTCTCTGTGCCCGTGCTTATATTTCCATCCTTATTACATCAAAGTTCTGTAGGGTGGGAGTGCTACAGATAAACAACGTTGAGTCCAACTTTGCCTACACTCACGACTCCACAAACTTGCTAAATTGTGGATGTTGCAATTTCCCAAAAGCAGATGCACAATATCCCCCAATAACAGCAATCACTGATTGGCATCTCACAAAATGTGCCTATTCCCCCCACCCACCCATTAACCATAATAATGAGGCAGATCAAAATCTAAACACTTTTATAAATATGTGATGTACATGTATATACACACATATATATTCTGTACATAGTATGATGGTGCGAGTGCTTCCTACGTGTGTGCTTCTGTCCTGGGTTGAGGTGTTAAGGAAGGGTTTCCCCCCTGCTTCTGGGTAACTCATGTTTTTGTTTGGCATCTGCTGTCTGTGCTCTTCCCCTCCTTGCCTGCTTCCCTCCCTCCTCCCCATCTTCTTTTCATTACTACTATTCCCCGCTGTTGACGGAGACAAAGATCTGCTTATTGGTTCTTTTTACGCAGGCCCATAAACCAGCCTTGTAGTGACGCCGATGGTTTTCTGGGAAGAGCAACAGAAAGCCCAACACAATCTACAGCACTAATATTAGCCAAAAGTCTCATAGGTTTATCAGTTAAAAACCCCATTTGCAGAAGGGTTCATGCATGTTTAAACCTTCAAGATCCAATTCTGTGGGAACTCAAGTGTAGAGCCAGTGTATTTGCATACACAACTCCCCAGGTGTCTACTGTATACATGTAGCCAGGGGGCCAATTTCTCAGAGCTTTCCTACAATCAACTGCCTCCACGGGGTTCTTTCTCTCCATCGCATTAGCATGACTCCATATATTGCTTCAGTGCTTGTTTACTAACAGGAGAAAAACATAAATGGACTGAGTTTCACCAGAATGATCCTCTGAAGTCACTGAAGAGATACATGTGTTGTATGCATTACTATAGAGATCAGAATCAGCTTATTGTATGTAAAATTTTATGAATGGTTATTTTATAATTTATGTATTTAATATAGGAATTGATGAGCTCTGGTGTTTTAGTTTCTATACAAATAAAACAAGCTGCATTTTTTAAAACTTTATCTGGCATTGTTCATAGGTTTCTGTTCTGTGTTTAACTGAACGCTTACCTACTTTTGAAAAACAGGGTGAAAGGCAAGTCAGGGCTGTCAGTATAACGTCAGGGGACAGACTCCACGTGAAGGTGGTAAATGGGTTTCTCCTCATGTTTCCATTCTGACAGAGCTGCCGGGGGCACTGTGGTGAGGAGCCCAAGGCAGAATTTACACTCAGGAGAGAGCTCTGATCATTAGCATGCCTACTCTGAGAGTAGTTGGAGAGAGGATCTTGCCAGCTATTGGCCATCCTTATTCTAGATATGACTTCTTTTCCTTTATCCACCTACCTTTTTTTCTCTGCCTTGTAGAGCCACTAGATGCAATAAGTTAACCAGTACATGTCACACGAGCATCCATTATGTATGTGCCCATTCCTATGGCCTGGAACATCTGGGTCTACTCTCGAAGAGCTTAATGAGGGAAACAACCCAGGTAACAAATTAAGAACCAATATGGCCCAATATGAGGTACAATTTTGTCAGTCACTGTTAAGACACTTAAATATAATTATAGTATTTGGGGGTGGGCTTGAAAGATCCATGCAAAGAAGGATCCCTGCTTGTCTTTTCAGTTGTAACCTCTTACTTTAGCAAAAAGTGTTGCTCATCGGTTCATTACGGTGTCCTGTTGCCCATTTATAGGAACCACCCTCATGTCAGGGCAAATATTTAACACAGAGAAGAGTGAGACATGGTGCTGGCCCTGAAGGCGTCTTATTGAATGAAGATTTACCACCAACTGTGTCTCTCGGAGAAAGGTGCCAAGTCTATCCTTCTACCATGAAATAGGCTGTTATTGTTACGGATTGTCTGATTTTATTAATGAAAAGCTCTGTTTTGATGAACTCCAATTCCTGTATAAAGCCTAAATATGCTATCATGTTAACAACTCCACTGACTCCTTCTAGCTCCAGAGGAAAGGACCCCTGTGACTTCTGGAGATGCAGAAAGGGAGTCGGGGACACTTCCTACCACAGCGCCAGTGACACAGGGACACCCAGAAGGCCCATACAAAGCTCTCACAGAGGGTTCCTCCTTTGGGCTCAGGACACAGCTCTGCCTGGGACCCACTGGGGAGCAAGGGCAGTCACAGACGTGCAGGTGTGTAATGAAGTGCTGACCTACCCCTTAAAGACTTAAGGGCACGTCTTTAATTAAATGTCGTAAAACTTTGTGCCAAACGGCTGTGAAGAATGCTTACTTTATTTAAGCAACTTTGTAGTTTCATATGAAATGTGAAGGTGAATAGTGAAGGCATTTTTCTCACTGGAAATGCTCCAAATAAAAACCTGTTTTTAACAAATGCACTTTTCTTTGCATGCAGATGCACTTGGTTTTGATCAAAAAAACCCATAACAAGTAGTCATTGATAATCTTTGCCTGTAATTAGTTTAAAAATATCGAGAACAAGGCCCACGATGTCTGTCATTTATGTGAAACTCAATATGACTCCATTTTTTATAATTTAAGAGGAAGAGGAAACACAAAACAAAATATTAACCAGCTCAGAACTGTATGTTTCTTTCTTTATGATAAGAGATAAATAAGATAAATAATTTACTCTGTAAATGACTTTGCGCTGATCACCTAGAAATGCATGAACAAATATAAAATGTAATGATGGCATCATCAAATTTTTCTATTTGCTTTTTACCTTATTGATATTATTGTCTTACCTTTAACTTGCTTTAATTGTGCCTTAAGTTTAGACCACCTTAAATCTATTTCTCTACAGTCACAGGATACAAATTCAATATTTTAAAAATGCACATTAAGTATTCTTAGAGATACTATCAGAAAGTGTGTAGGAAAATATTTAAAGCTTGGAAATAAGGCAAAACGATGAGTGTGTCTGTATCTTTATCATTCCACTTCTGAATGCTTTCCAAAAATTATGTTTTTATTCATTTTAGAGTGAGAGGAAGGGAGAGGGAGAGAGAAACATTGATGTGAGAGCAAAACATTGATCGGTTGCCTCCTGCACTGGGTGGGGCTCAGGACTGAAACCCAGGCATGTGCCCTGATGGGCAATCAGACTGACAACCTCTTTGTGCCCGGGACAACGTTCCATGAACTGAGCCACACCGGCCAGGGCCCCAGGGCTTTCTAATATGTCAATTGGGAAGTCATTTGACTCTGGGGAAATATAACAATGGATGAGAGCCAGCTGTTTCCCAGCCCTGTAAAGCCAGAAGCTAGCTTACAGAAAATGGATAAGGTGTGATGTACTGTTTTTTTCTTTGATTTAAAAAGAGAAAAACCCAACTATTAGGTTTTTGTCCTGCATACAAATCAACCCCTTTGGTTTCTAACATATTGCCTTCATTTCAACATATTTCCCCCTGCGGACGAAAGGGGCCACACGCTGACCTGACAAGCTCAGGGAAGGCCTGCGTGGCAGCCTAGCAGACTCAGAGACCTAAAATAACCACAAAGGATGGTCTGAAATTAAACTGCACCCACCTAGGTATGTGTCCATCATTTTACTTTTATCCTATCCTAGAGGTTTCCCCCGCTTTGCTAATCCCACCTCCTTAAATCTGTCACCAATGAATTTCATGTAACCCACCTACATTCCTCCTTTGATTGCAATGTATAAATACAATTGTAACCCGGCCATTCTCCGGAGCACTATCTCAATTCGTTGAGGTTCTGCTTCCCGGCATATGTCGACAGTTTGGCTCAAATAAACTCACAAAAATTCTTTACAGGTTTCAATGGTTTTTTACGTTAACACCCCCCATTCTTTAAATCCTCCTTAAATCAGCTCAGTCATTCTATTGGTTGTTTTAATTATAAGTATATAAAACTTCGGCACGTACGCACTTATATTTACGAGGACAGTTTTAACAGTTCATTAAGAGTGCTTTCTCAAAGGGCATCCTAAGAGATGTCGAGACAAAATGTGTTCCTTGCTCTCAATGAACTTAAAGTAAAATAAGACACATATGGCCCAGAAACAATGAGATAGAAATCAAAACAGGATGGGAAAAGCCGTCAGGATGCCACAAAGCACTAAACATCCTGAGCTCATCTTTCCTTCCCCACCTGCTCCTATGTTCCCCAACTCGGTGGCAGATGCCAGATGGAACGATAATAGATCCCTGGCTTTACTCTCTCCTGTTTTCCCTCCCTCCTTCCCTCCCTCCCTCCTTCCTTCCCTCCTCATCCAGTCCTTCCAGGTGCTATTGATTTGCACTCTGCAGCCTGTCCTCCACCCCCCATCGCTTTACTGAGCACTTTTCACCTGGACTCACCCAGCGGCTTTCTAGTTAAACAAACTGCTCCCAGTTGTGGCCTTTAACTATAGCCAGCCCCCGACTTACCACGGTTTGACTTACGATGGCTTGACTTTACGATGGTACCAAAGTGAAATAAATTCAGTAGAAATCGTTCTTTGAGTTTTGAATTTGGCCTTTTCCCCAGGCTAGCGACGTGGGACCAAAGCTCGCCGTCAGCCAGGTGAGCCCGAGGGTAAACAGCCGATCCCCTGCGTGTGCCGAGCTGCCAGCGTGGTCTGGACGTGGCTCTGTGTTTACATCCCCTCCTGCCTGCCCGTCTGTGTGCCCGGTGCTTCCCGCTGTCTGCTGGTGGTGAGTACACACAACCCCTGCTTTCCGCTTTCAGCACCGTTTTCAACAGTGACCCAAGGGGCGCAACACTATTATAAAAGGGGCTTTGTGTGAGATGCTTTGGCCCAGCCGTAGGCTAATGGAAGTGTTCTGAGCACGTTTCAGGTCGGCGAGGCTGAACTATGATGTTTGCTCGGTTATGTGTCTGTAGAAAATGCGTTTTTTACTTTCAGCATTTTCAACTTACCATGGTTTATGGGGACGTAATCCATCATTAGATCCGGAGCATCTTGTTTTCCCCAGTTTGAGTTAATGTGTAGATCGTAACAGGTTGTCTTCATCTGTAAAATCCCTCCTTGGTTTCCCACGTCTACCTGAGGTTAACTCTCAAATGCCTCTGGAATTAAACACCTAACAAACATGGGACTTGGGAGTGTTTTAGCTCTCCCACCTCTGTAAAATAAGGTACAGGCTCTCTTCTGAGCGTGGCCATTTATGTCCTGAACACACCTTACTCATAATGAAGGCCCAGCTTAGCCATAATCTTCTCCAGGAGTTGGACAAAACATCCTTAGTTCTCCCAAAGCATTCTGTGTGCACCTACCTTGTCACTTGCCGGGCTTATGAAAATTACTTTTCTGTACACTCCCACTTATACCCCTAATTAAATCGGAGCTGTTTTAAGGGCGAAGATTATGCCATGTTCAGCTTTCAATCTTCAGCATCTAACACAGGTCCTAGTACCCTCAGAGTCTCACTAAATTATTCTAATTTTGTGGCATATGTATTGGACTGTAGAGGGAGGAGTCACCTCTTTTTTAAAAAATATATTTTATTGACTTTCTACAGAAAAGAAGGGAGAGGAATAGAGAGTTAGAAACATCGATGAGCTGCCTCCTGCACACCCCTACTGGGGATGTGCCCACAACCAAGGTACATGCCCTTGACTGGAATTGAACCTGGGACCCTTCAGTCCGCAGGCCGATGCTCTAGCCACTGAACCAAACCGGTTAGGGCAGGAGTCACTTCTTGTTTGGATGCTAAAAGAAGGCTCTGTGAGGGTGGAAATGGGGATTTTTGAAAGTTATTTTGTTGTTTCTGGGTTTTTGATTATTTTATTATTTCTTTCTCTTGCCTTCCTTTCTTCTTTTCAAGGAGAGTTTTATTCCATAAATCAAAAGCTCTTCAGAAAATATATGCCCCCAAAATGCATTTATAACAACACATAGGCACAGACAGCAGAGCGGTGATAGTCAGAGGGAAGGGGGTAGGTAGTCGGTGGGCGTGGGGATGGAAAGAGACTTGGGCGATAGGCGATGAAGCAGTGTGCAGATGATGTTCTGTTGAGTTGGACACTTGAAACCTATGTAGTTTTGCAAACCAATGTC